CGCCGCACTACGTGAGCCCCGACGTCCAGAAGAGCAACGGGCAGAGCAGCTCGCCGCAGTACATCATAGTGACGGTCACAGGTGAGGCGGGCCGAGGAAAACCGGGAAAAGGGGCACACGGAACGGTGGGAAAAGAGGACCCGCCCCTCTCCGGTTTCCCAGGTTTCACATGTCACAACACAATAACAACATCTGATCCCGACACGGATCTAAAACTGGGCTAATAGGTGACCCAGGACAGCCTGGAGAGCCTCCTCCAGCGGAAATAACCTCATTTATGGCGTTATCCATTTCAGTTTTAGAGGAATTTTAGTCCACTGTGAGGAATAAAGTGTCAAATCTGTTAGTCCTGCACACAGCTTTTAGCCTCTTCCATACGTCTTAGTCATCGTCTTTTCTCTCCAAGTTTGAGGCACCTACATCCTTAAGATGAACTTCACTCACTTCATGTTTCACTCATTTAATTCTTTAATTCAAACTAAAATAATCCAGTCTCTGTCATAAATGTCTTAGAGTAGAGCGGCATATGAAGGAACGATAATGGGCTCCATGACTGGATGCTATCTGTATAGTGTGTTTAATCTGAGGAGGTCTATTCTTAGACCCTTTGGCCTGCTAGTATCGGGTATCGGCTCACCTAGAGGATGTTTAACCCCCACTGAAGTGGGGCATTTCCCCGAACTGGCTGGAGAACAGCTGGGGGGAAAAGTTTCCATCTTCCAAGTTTCATCTTAGTTTAGTTTTCCCACCATGTGAAATGCAGTTCAATTTAGCTTTTCTGCACATCTGTTTGAACCATGTATTTCAACATTCAGTTATATTATATCCAAGTTTTATCTTTTTTATTAAGTTGCTTACCTTTAAATTGACCATAAGTGCTTCATGTAACTTGATTGATAAGTGAAAATACAAAAGCTGAATTCTATGAAATCTGGTTAAGAAATAGGAATGATGGGTGTTTCCAGACCTTTAAAAAGTCTTGTTCATGGGCTGTTTCAGCGAGTTCTTAATGCACTTTTCAGGAATAGGAAGATGGTCAAACCAAATAACCTTTAGTTCTGTGTCAAATGTACCTTTCTAACTAATTTTCTAACTAATTAAAATGATAGTCGGTGTAGATTTGACTGACTTTCAGAGTTAGATGTTTGTAATATTGACAGTTGTTTCCTAAATGGAGCAGCTGTGTAGCTGGAGCAGGTCAAGCTGTTTGAATCTGTGTTGTTTTAGACTAAAGCTTACAAAAAAAACACGCCGACTCTCTCCTCCGCCGGCAGTCCATCCCACTTTTTCCAGGCCCACGTATATCTCTCATTTCCCTCTCCCATCTGATCTGCATGTTTACAAGATGGAGGGATTTCTGTCTCCATCTGGGGAGATTAGCTGTCCAAGGCTGTCCCACTGCCGGCCAGATATAAGGATGAGAGGGGAGAGGGGCAGAAAACACTCAGGCTGATCCTCCTCACCTGGTTTAGCCTCAGAAAACCCCCCAAAAACAACAAAAAAACAAACAACCCACAAACTCTTAGTGGCAACATGTTCTGTGCTGGCTGTTATTACGATTTGGAGGCTGTGTGCCGTGAGTACTGACCCCGTCAGAGCGGAGGCGTCTTTTTTAGCCGTGATCTGTCGGAGCTTCAGGTGAAACCTCCATTTTTTTTGTCCCCCGACAGAGGGCTCGGTCCATTCCAGCGACAGCCTGTCGGACTCCAGCCCGCCGGCGCCCGTGGTCCCGACTCC